ACAAATACCATATGATTTCACTTATATGAGATACCTAGAATAGTCAAGTTCATAGAAATAGAGAGTAGAATAGTGGTTACTAGGGGCTGGGGAGAGGAAGGAGTGGGGAGCTATTGTTTAGTGGGTACAAAGCTTCTGTTTTACAAGATAAAAAACATTCTGGAGGTAGATGGTGGTGATGGTTTTACAACAATGTGAATAAACTTAATGCCACTGAACTACACACTTAAAAATGGTTAAAATGGTAAATTTTATATTATATATATTTTGCTACAATTTTTAAAATTCATATGGTAATATATATGGCATAATTCCATTGTAGAATTATATGTGTTTGAGTATTGTTTCCTCATGTATATGTAATTTATAGCAATATATACATGTATTGTATTAGACTGCATAAATGCACAGATGAAACTGTACACACAAAATAGTGTGTAAATGCATAGTACTGTGGATTTGCTTATAGTAAATAAAAGAGTGGGATTTAATTCTTTAATCCTTTAAATGCATGGAAGGGTTTTCACCAAATTGTTGACAGTGTTTACCTCTGGAGAGGGAAGTGAGAGCTGGGGAGTGAGTGGGAGAACATAGATTTATATTTTTCTACTTTTCTATAATAGAAATGTACTGATGAGTTACTTAAATAAAATTTTTAAAAGCTAAAAACTTTTTTTTATCAAAAAGAAGAGGACAGAAAAAAGAAAATAAAGGACGAGGGCCAAAAGGTTTTGCCGCATGAGTTCTGCAGAACCTTAAGCAAACAGGTAGGTTCCAGGTAACAGGAAGAATGGAAGGTTGCCAATTAGTGATATACAGCCAGCAGAACTCTGATGCCCAAACAAAACACAGATGGCACAAAAATAAATACGTGAGCCAAATTTAATTGTGGCTATGGATAGAAAATACTAAATAAAACAAAGGAAATCAATTTTAGAACTCCATCAAAAGGACTGCACAACTTGACTAAAAAGAATATATTCTAAAAATGAATGGCTGATCCAACATTAGAAGATGTATTAACACAATAGATTACATTAACAGATCAAAGAAAATAAGTGATATGATCATTGCAATGACTATAAAAAGATTTGTGTTAAGATTCCAATTAAAGCCAGGGACAGAAGGAAACATTCTCAACTTGACAAAGAGTATCAGAAGCCATGGGCAGACTCAACAGTGAAACATCAGAATCATTTCCATCTCAAGACAGGGACAAAAAAAGGATCATCATCACTGTTATTTTTGCACACTGTTCTGGAGAGCCTTGTTAATGTAGCTGGAAAACTTACAGAAATATATACTGGAAAGAAAAGATTAAAAATATCATTATTTATAGACCACATGACTACTTAAAAATTCAAGAAGAAAAAAGTTATTATAATACAAAAAGTTCAGGAAGTATTCTGACATTAAACAAACTGCTTTCCCAACTTTTAGTTAATATTTAATTATATACATTTAATTGTATTTTATATATTCTAATGTTATATATTATGTATTATATATTATGAGTATACATAATATATTACTACTTATTACATTTATAGTATTGTGCATGTGTGTGCATACACACACATATATAGTAAATATTATATAAAATATACACCCTAGTATTGATTTCCTAGTTTGTCTCCTAAAAACAAAAAAAAGCTAGCTAACTCAGTAGCAGTGAGCATCGTTTGCACTGATAATGTGCCTCCAAACACCATTTCCCACTAAAAAGAACCAGGGTTTCTTAAAGAAATGGCTCGATCCAGGTTTGGGTCAGAAAATGAACAAGATGATACCAGAAAATTGTAGCACAAAAGCAAGGAAGCTCTCAAAGACAACTGGGTCATGCCAAAGGACTCCGAGTCAACATGAAGAGTCCCCAGCTGGGCAGAAATGCTATCAATTTGAACATTAATAAGAATAATAATTGCAATGTGAATCGCACGAAATATGTTTAAAATCATAGATTTATATTATAATAATACTTGAAAAAATCACTGGTCACATTTTGAGGATGCTAGCAATCAGCTCATTGTTTTGCAAATTTATAAATAAAGAAAATAATAATGCATTTATCATGCCTTTTGATACAAACTGTATTTCAGGGGAACTAAACAGTTGATGAGGGGAAGTTTCTCTTTACAGAAATATCCCAGCCCATAAATGAAGGACTGGTAGACTACCACCATTTAGACATTGATCTTCAGTGGCTACAGCATCACAAAAAGAGAGAAAACCATACTATTATGTGCTTTCTAATATGATATAATAGGAATATATAATACCAACCCTAAAGTATTCTTGCCCAAACAAACCAACCAACCTGAACATGATCGAGCCTTTAGGTCTAACCACCTGTATAAGGGAAACGGGACAAAGGAACATGGTAAACCATACCACGGGGATATGATTAGAAAAACATAGACTATGGGGAAGTCTATAGGATAAATGAATAGTTTCCTCAACAAATAAATTTCAAGGAAAAAAAACAAGAAGGGGATACATTAAAAGAGAGTTAAGAGATATGTCACCTAAACACAACATGTGGACCTTATTCAGAGACTAACTTGAGCAAATAAGCAAAACTGATGGCATAAGGACTTCTCACAATCCTCTCTTCCATAAAAGCAATAAAAACACTAGCAAAAATTGTCAGAACCAGCATTTTCAAAACTCTGGACATTAACCAAAGGCTTGCAGCAATCTGAGCAGCAATTATTCAAGGAAAATGCTCAGTAAGAACAGTGAGCTTTGTGGTGTATTAACCTGCCTATTCCCATCTCCCCCATCTCCACCTCGGCAGTAACCTTGAGCACAACAACCCGGAGTCACAGTGAGAGCCAGCAGCCCAGCAGACACTGCAGGGGTAGAATGGGCTTACAGGTCCTTCAATGCCCAATTCCCAATTATTATTTGACCTGTGTGGTGGTTCCCTGGAAG